CATATATATACATAGACAAGCATGAGAAAAATTTACTTCTATATGCCTATACTAAAAGAAAACTTTAAACATGTAAGAGATTATAACTCTGAGAAAAGTTCCAAGAGTTACACATGATATTGTCTGTGATTCTACATTATTTTGGGTCATGAAGCCAGTTGAAAGGCTAAGGAAAGCTCTGGAAGCTCTTCTAAGAAAACACCCAATGGTGTGAAATTTTAGAAACCTCAGGCACAAGAAAAAGCAGACTTTCCTATAGAAAATTTTGAAATTTCAGGATATTGTTCCATCCAGCAACTTGATGTCAGCTTTTAAAAATCAAAATGCTTCTGGGTGAGGAGGCTCATGCCTGTAATCCCAGCACTTTGGGAGGCCGACATGGGTGGATCACGAGGTCAGGGGTTCGAGACCAGCCTGATCAACATGGTGAAATCCCGTTTCTACTAAAAATATAAAAATTAGCTGGGAGTGGTGGTGCATGCCTGTAATCCAAGCTACTAAGGAGGCTGAGGCAGGAGAATCACTTGAACCCAGGAGGAGGAGCATGCAGGGAGCTGAGATCACACCACTGTACTCCAGCCTGGGCAGCAGAGCAAGACTCCTTCTCAAAAAAAAAAAAAAAAAAAATCAAAATGCCTACAAATGCCAGTGAAAATACAAATGGAAAAGCTTTATTCTGTATAATTCAAACCTCTGTGTAGTGAATTCAAGCGAATGTAAAAAGCCAGTGACTTAATCATTCACAGGCATATTTAAATATCATATCATCGTCTTTTAAAACCATTAGTACATGTTAATCTTATTTTTCCATACAGCAAACCAGGCAAGCAGTCATGGGTAGACTCTTACAGTTATTGTTGAAAAGGTTTTTCTTTAGGGGACAGATAACATCCCTTGATGGTGTTTTGGGAAGCTGATCTGCTGGCTATTTGGCTGTCTTCTTTCCCCTCAATTTTTCTCTCTGAGGTCTAAGTCCTGGAAGTCCGATTGTTAGTCCTTTTGTTTTTCTAGCAGCAACTGCTTCCTTGAACTGTCATTTCAGTACCCGCAGTGTAATTCTGTTCTCTGATGTTATGCAAAACATATCCGCCTTTTACATTGCTTGATCCAAATCTCATTTGCCATGCATTTTCTACCCTTTGATCCCTCTCTGCATTGCTGTTTATCAATATCAAAAAGACATAGCTGAAAAATGGGCAAATTCACAGGTGCCCAGCATTGCTTTTGGCCTGGAACCTATAAAACCAAGTCTTTCACAGGTCTGGTGTGTTTCCTTAACTGGACAGCATGCATCACAAGAGCACCACTCTCCCCTTTGTTTACTGAATCATGTAAAGGATTGAATGAAGTGTGTTTTGAAAATAATGAATAACTTTCCCCCCTACCCATAGCACACAGCAACTTACTCATCCACAAGAGATCCTTTTCAAAATACCACTGCATCGCTTTCCTTCTTAACAATGATGCCAATTTCAATTTTACATTATGCTCTGTGACTATTCAATAGCTGTCTTCCCTGTTGTATTATAAGCACCTGGAGTCAGGAAATACATCTAGCTGGCTCGTCTTTGTATTCCTAGTACCTAACAGTGCCTGGCATATAGTCAGTGATAATTGGTATGTTTTGGATGAATTTAACCTCACCCAGATATTTTGGGAGTGTCTCCTCTAGAATTGTCTTTGGAGCCAGTTTTCCAGTGATGAAGAGAAAACGGATTTCTCAATTTGCTTTGAAGATCATGAAAGCAGTGTCTCTTGGTCTGCCTGCTGTGTTACTTTCTCTCTCTCTTCTCTCTTTGCTCCACATAGCCCCTCTCAGGTAGCCTGCTTTTCCTCTCCTCTCAGCATAGTTGAAGCTACCACCAGAAGTTACCTGGCACACTTGTGCTGATTCCGACCTGGACCCCATAAGGGGACCTGTGGGCAGGCTGATGGCTGAGGATAAATGAGCTTGTGAAACACTCATCACGCTGGCTATATTTATCTGGGGCTGCCTACCTGCTGTCGTTGCTGGAAAAACTCTAAGTGGATACAATTAGCTTAGAACCGTAAATATGCATAGCTGAAGGTTTAGGACTCAAGTTTTAAGTAAGTTAATTATAACTGAGATGGTTTAAAGTGAGTTGATGGTGTTAATGGTAATTATGGTGGAGAAGGGAGCTAAATTTACAAAGAACTGTAACTGTCTCTTTTATGTATTTATGTTTTAGTTTGTTTTTTTTTTACACCAGGGTTATTCTTTACTTTCATGATTGAAAAAATATATACAATAAATATTTTAAGTATCATAAGGAAAATGGTTTCCCTGTCATTTTTAAGAATTACCTATTAAAAAATATCGAATATAGCATAGAATGGAATGAATTTATAACACGGATACGATACCTAAAATGACTGAGCTGATGATATAATCACCTAGAATTACTTTCTTTTGAAAGTAATACATAAAATTATAAAGTTCAGAGAGGACCCATAGCCAGGATGTTTCCAGATGTTATTGCTTAACATCTGTATAACTGTGCAAGTTACTGAAATGTATATGCTTCAGTTTCCTCATCTGTAAAACGAAGATAGTTATAGTTCTTTCCTCATAGAATGCAAAGGACATAAATGAGGCCTAGCACACTGTGATGCTACATCACTCTTATTGTTGTTTTATATAACAACGATCTACATACACATTGTGAGAGATTTCAAAATGTTAATGCATTATTATCTACCAGAGCTTAACAATTTATAGTTCAGAAAACAGTGACGTTTTGCCCTGTGTTTAAAAAGTGTCTCCTTCACCTCAATAACATTCACCCTTTATTAAGCAGTACTTAAATATATTTGTTTAATTGTGGTATCTGCAAACACTGGGCAAACGGGTGGTATAGGGGTTGGCCATTTACTCAGAGGAAAACATGATGATCTGGCCTGAAGACGGTGACGGGGATGATGACAATGATGAAGCTGGAGGTTGTGTGCCAGCTCTACTACTTGTGTACTAGCTGTGTGACCTTGGGCAGATATTCCACCTTTCTGATCCCTCTTTCTCATCTCTGAGGTCAAGATATTCTGTACTTCACCTAATAACTGTGAAATGATGTATGTAAAAGTGCTTTATGAACTGTTTTGGATTAGATGTAGTGCTCTAGTTCCAACTCAGGAGCCATCTGCCACCCACTCACATTTCCCTAAGCCCTTCATCCATGTTTCCTTCCTTTTCCTCCCCTAGCCTTTTCCTCTTTGTTTAAATTCTCTTTGAAGTTGTTTATTTATTTCAGCCCTGAAGGTAAACGCATGTAGACATCCATTAACGTAGTTTGTCCCCAGATTTCTTCCCCACTGGGCCTGTCACTGGTTTAAGGCACTGAAAGCCAGGGAGGAGAGAAGTGGTTTAAAAATGCATTGAAAAACAGCTTAAAGCAAGACAACCTACCAGACTATAACTGCCAATAATCATGGCAAAGACAGTAACTTCGTTATCTGCTTGAAGGAATACTGTTCTCTTTAAGTGAAAGCAATATGCAAAAGCAGATCTAGAGTGACATACTCCTGTGATACACTCCTGCCATGCTGGCTTTAGTTTCAGCAGTCAGTAAAACATTTATCCAGCAGTGACACTGGTGCCAGGCAGGAAGATGCAAAAGATGAAACTGAGTCATTTGTGCCTTTCAGGATCCTATGTTCAAGTATAAAACTTAGAGAAACAAATGTGTGTTTAGTAGAAAGAGAGGTTATTTGCATACACCCCAGTAATTATATAAATCTATTGTGTTTTAAAAACAGACCGAAGGAGTCCTTTAGATAGTCCTCTGAGTGCTGTAAACATTGTTTGACTTCTTAAAGTGGTGGTTTCTTTAGCATGCAGATACATATTAAAAGTAATAACTGAAGTTAAATGCAGAAGAATATTTAAAAATAGGAAATACGAACTTTGAAACTTATATAGTCTTTTAAATTGGCACAACTGAGTCATTAGGATTGCTCAGACTGTATTCCCCAAATAACCTCCTTCTCTTGCTCTTAAAAAAAACTTCTATAAAATAATGGTCTTTGTTTTTTAAGCCTCTAGCTGCACTTACTGTTCAAACATAAAGGCCCTGCATTTTTAGGGTAAGTCATCACAAATGAGACACTTATAGCTTAAGGTCACACACACACACTTTCAGAATTCTAAAATCCACAAAACACCTAGAAGCAATGTCCCATCAGATGCTTCCAAGTTAAAGGGCTGTGAGGGTCATTCCACTGCAAAGCATGAGCCATATTACATGGATCACTAGTTTTGCTTTTTAGTTTTATCACATGGCCCATATTTTTCTCTGCATTTTATGCATCAGCATTAGCGACTGAAATGACCTGGGGCCCAAGAAAACCCAAGATACCACTTGTGACTTGTCCCGTGATTTAATGAGTTCCCTTTAACAGACTGTCTTCCTCTTTTCAGTGAATATTTGGAAATGTTTCATTTAGTAAGTCGAAAATCCTTGTCGGAATCAGTACAGATGAAAATCCAGGCTAAGAATGAAATACTTTCTGGTCAGGAAAACTGGCTACATAAGAGGCTGTGTTTGTGAAATGAAGAAATGATAGAAAATTTCCCTGAAATGATAACTGGAAAATGGATCAAGTCCTACAAGTATTGGTTTAATTCACTGCTCAGTGAGAACCACAGACAGCTGATTAAAGATTGAGCCCAGTGGTTGGATTTTCTTTCCTGCTCATCTGGGCTATTACTATGAAAAATAAGAAGAACCATTAATGTAAAGTTTAGCTACTAAGAAATCCTAAGGAGGAGAGAGAGAGAGAGAGAGAAAGAGAGAGGAGAGACAGAGAGAATGAGGACGTTTCATAAGTGCTCCATGGATCAAAATATGACAAAAACAAGCAATGGGGAAAGGATTCTCTATTGAATAAATGGTGTTAGGAAAACTGGCTAGCCATATGCAGAAAGCTGAAACTGGATTTCTTCCTTACACCTTACACAAAAATTAATCCAGATGAATTAAAGATTTTTTTTTTGTTAGTTCATGTCTTTTATTAACTCAGTTATTTGTCTTCTGGTTTGTTGAAGCAGTAAGTCAGACAACATTTGCCACAATAATGTCTGTCAAAATGGCTTGCCATAAACATTCCAGCACCACATTCATCAGAAGGGCACTCTCGACGAAGGCGACTAATTTTGCCATTCTCATCCACCTTATAGTATTTCAGAACCGCCAGCTTTACCTTCTTTCTCTTGTGCTTATTCTTCTTGGGAGTGGTGTAAGACTTCTTCTTCCTTTTCTTAGCACCACCACGAAGTCTCAACACAAGATGAAGAGTAGACTCCTTCTGAATGTTATAGTCAGACAAAGTACGTCCATCTTCCAGTTGCTTGCCAGCAAAGATCAGTCTTTGCTGATCAGGAGGAATTCCTTCCTTATCCTGGATCTTGGCCTTTACATTTTCTATCGTATCCGAGGGTTCAACCTCGAGGGTGATGGTCTTCCCTGTAAGGGTTTTCACGAAAATCTGCATTTTGGTGGCGGCCCCACCTGAGGCGCAGATGGCGGATCGAAAAGCTGAATTAAAGATTTAAACGTAAGGTCTAACACCATAAAAACCCTAGAAGAAAACCTAGGCAATACCATTCAGGACATAGGCATGGGCAAGGACTTTGACTAAAACACCAAAAGCAATGGCAACAAGAGGCACAATAGACAAATGGGATCTAATTAAACTAAAGAGTTTCTGCACAGCAAAAGAAACTATCATTAGAGTGAACCGGCAACCAACAGAATGGGAAAAAATTTTTGCAATCTACCCATCTGACAAAGGGCTAATATCTAGAATCTACAAAGAACTTAAACAAATTTACAAGAAGAAAACCAACAACCCCATGAAAAAGTGGGTGAAGGATATGAACAGACACTTTTCAAAAGAAGACATACATGAGGCCAACAAACATACGAAAAAATGCTCATCATCACTGGTCATTAGAGAAATGCAAATCTAAACCACATTGAGATGCCATCTCGTGCCAGTTAGAATAGTGATCATTAAAAAATCTGGAGACAACAGATGTTGGAGAGGATGTGGGGAAACAGGAACATTTTTACATTGTTGGTGGGAGTGTAAATTAGTTCAACCATTGTGGAAGACAGTGTGGCAATTCCTCAAGGATCTAGAACTAGAAAAACCATTTGACCCAGCAATCCCATTACTAGGTATAGACCCAAAGGATTATAAATCATTCTATTATAAGGACACATGCACACGTATATTTATTGCAGCACTGTTCACAATAGCAAAGACTTGGGACCAGCCCAAATGCCCATCAATGATAGACTGGATAAAGAAAATGTGGCAGATACACACCATGGAATACTATGCAGCCATAGAAAAGGATGAGTTCATGTCCTTTGCAGGGACATGCATAAAGCTGGAAACCATCATTCTCAGGAAACTGACACAAGAACAGAAAACCAAACACCGAAAGTTCTCACTCATAAGTGGGTGTTGAACAATGAGAACACATGGACACAGGGAGGGGAACATCATACACCGGGGACTGTTGGGGGAGGGGAAATAGGAGAGGGATTGCAGGGGGGCGAGGGGCTAGTGGAGGGATAGCATTAGGAGAAATACCTAATGTAGATGATGGGGTGGTGGATGCAGCAAACCACCATGGCATGTGTATACCTGTGTAACAAACCTACATGTTCTGAACATGTATCCCAGAACTGAAAGTGTGTGTGTGTATATATATATATATATAAAGAACAGAGTAAAAACAGTTGCTTCCCAAAATTTTAGCATCACTGAACTTCTAGTGCCATGTTCTCATTTATCGGTGAGTGAATTGGCCAAGTATGACATGTTGCTATCATCACTAGCATTGCATTTTTCTGGGTCTAGGAATCTAGCCTGGCTCCTCACGTTTTCTGCTTCTTGCCTCTTATTTTGTTTTAGTGTGTATCTTCTTTATTGCTTGTGAACATTTTCATGAGAGGAGAAAAGGAGATGGAGGTAAAAGTCACAGTTTGTTCATTTTTCTTCCTCGTTAGTAGCACTTACAAATGTTTGAAGAGAAGGAGGTCATAACAAACAACTAAAATTAGGTTTTTTTTTCAATTATATTTGAATATTTGGCAAACTATTTCCCAATTAGCATGAATAATTGCAAACTAGTGTATGACAATTAAATAATACATTTAGGTTTAATATTTGAATACATTTGTCTAAAATCTTATTGCTGCCAGCTTTCTTATAACAAAGCTCTTGACATTTGTTATGGAGCCAAGAGGTGCTTGGAGGTGGGGTGGCAAACTGTGACTGCATACCAGGCAATGCTTGCTCAACACGTTGGGCCAGTATTCCTTGCCTTTCACTGAGAAGGGCTTCTTTATATGAGATTGGTGTTTCCCAGCCATGGTTTTGTGACGTCTGAGAGTACTTATTATTTCAAGGGATTATGCAATCCTGAAAATAGTTTCAAAAAAATTTAATTTAACCTTATTTTTGTAAGCATGACCTCTGTCTTATAATACTCACCCACTTCCTATTTGACAATGAGAGAAATGAAAGAAGGCTGTCATGATGTGAACTCAATTTTATTATTTCTTTCATAGAAACCATTTATCGAAGACTCCCATGTGCCCTGCATTGCATGTATATGAGAGATACAGTGACAATCCTAGATACAACCCTAGAAGGAAGTTGGGAAACACAAACTGACAGATTGTTTTTCTGCATAATAAAGCAAAGTAAAGGGAAATAATGTCGTAGTTCTTATACCTGGGCCCATATTCTCAAACTTTTACTTGCTACAAATATTTCAAGATGACCCTTGAACAGTGCCAGCGGATAGTAAGCTAGCCAATATGAGTCCATGAGTTCCAATGAAATATAAATAAAAGTAGATACACGTCATACTTCGTATAAAAAGATGAGGTGGTGAATTTATAAGTGGCTTGGAGTTTTGGGAAATATACCCTTTATGGCTTAAGCTCCACCAAACAAAAACCATTCTGTAATGCCACTTGCTTTAACTTTGTCATCAGATTGTTCTCCAAATTGGTTAAAACTTTTAAGCCTGTTTACAAAGCTGTCTGATGTAATCTGACGAATTTAAGTGCTAATTATATGTTTGGAATAAAAAGATGAGATTGACTTTTAGCTATATATTTTTAAAAGATGGGTGTGTGATTTGTGTCTGGGAATCCAAGACCTTAAATAGCTACTGGTCTTGATGAAAGTCAGGGAAATACTAGCTACCCCATAATAGAGGTCTTTCCAGGGCAGCCTGGAACAAGAGAGCACAGATTCTGAACCTATGACTGCTGTTGTACCTGCTCAGAATTGCTGAAAGAAGAGCTACTCTCCCTCTGACAAAATGAGGGCTGATGAGGTCTTCTCAGTTTCCTTGGAGACCCACAGGCTACTAGAACAACTCCATCCCCCCTTCCACCATGTGCGGGGACTGCTATCGTACTATTGGTCTGGAGGTGAGAAACCTAACCCTTTACCCCCAACTGCTAAATTTTTTATTCTTTCTTCCTAAGTCCAGAGAGGACAAGAGGCAGCCCCAAAGCTTGCTTTTGTTTTGCCTGTACCTTGTGGATCCATACTCTATCTAAGACCCAAGTTTTTACAGAAAGAAGGATGTGCTTCCGGTCTCACTCTAGAAATCTGACCTACACACACAGACTTTGAATTGTTTCTCCAGTAGTGGCCATGGGCTACATCCAAATTATTATTGTTTAAATGTATCACCCACAGTTCATGTGTTAGGAACCTAATCCCCAACTCAACAGTGTTGAGTGGGGGGACATTTAAGAGGTGATTAGGTCATGAGGGTTCTGCTCTCATGGATGGATAAATTCTGTTATCTTTGGAGTGGGTTAGTCATCATGGGAATGGGTTCCTGATAAAAGAATGAGTTTGACCTCCATCTGTCTTGCTCTCTCCCATGCTCTTTCACCATGTGAAGTCTTCCATAATGTTATGACTCAGCAAGAAGGCCCATGCCAGATGCAGGTGCTTTGATCTTGAACTTCCCAGCCTCTAGAACTGTGAGAAATAAATTACTTTTCTTTATAAATTACTCAGTCTGTGGTATTCTGTTATAGCAACACAGAAGGGACTAAGACACATTTACAAATACATTTATTTACTTTATTTTCCATGTGAACCATAGATTGTATTTACAAGATTGTTGACTTAGGTTGAGACTTCAATATTTTGCCAGTGATCAAAACAGAGCTACCTGGAATATGGTTTATAAGGATGAGTACAAGATTTGGAGCCATGACAATGGAAATTTGAGCTCACACTGTGCCATTTTCCTGAACTATGACCCTTGATACATTTCTTAATTTGGATTTTGGTTTTTCCATAGGTAAAACGGACATAATACTATTTGTATTATTATAAATTTGTTTAGAGTACTTAACACAGCACCTAGCATATAGCAAGTACTTAATAAATACCAGCTCTAATAAACAAATATGCCCAGAAAATTAGAGGTGCCAAACTATAATAAATACTTCATGTCGAGGGACATGGTAAGAAAAAGAGACTCTAAAGTGGAGAAATAGCATCTTCTTTGTGTTATTTCTAACTAATAACAGCCTGGCAGCCCTGGAGAGAGGACAGAATGGGGAACTGTGGCTGGTATGATTAGTTGAGAGTCAGAGGTAAGTAAGTTAAACTCTTACCCAAGGCCTATCATATAAGGCTTATTCCTTTTGGAAAGTCTGGAAGGACACTAAGAATGTTTAATTGGATTGGGCTGGAATGTGTGTGTGTGTACATGCATGCATGTATGTGAAGCTAAAATAAATTGTGTAATATTCTGATTGCTTTACATATTATAATACATCCAACCTTCATTTAAAAAAAATAACAAAAACAAACAAACAAACCTTTTCAACATTAACCTTTTCCTCAAAGAGAGGGAGCTGGATCCAAATCCATAAAGGTCAGTACTTGAGCTCACATAAGCCCTGTGTTATGTGACTTCTTGCCCCAGTGTTTTGCCTTAGTAATTTGGAAGCTTCTGAACTTTGTCAGCCTGGCCCACTTACCCAGCAAAATGAATACCAAGCTGAGAATATGGCCTGCATCTCAGTTATGCAAATTCAGAGGATACAAATGACCCATCCATGCCATGCAACTCTACTGGGGCCCTTGCTTGCTTTTGCTCTGGAAGCCAGTTACATTATCTGCCAGACATACTGCATGACATGAGAAGACCTCAAATACAAAGCAAGTTACAGACCTATTTTCTGCCTGGAAGATGCACAGGGGCCCCTCCTCCCTTGCTCATATTTTTATCAGCTGGTGGAAGCTGCATTCATTTTCTCCAAAGAAGAAAAAAAGCTATTGAAACTCAACTCCTGTGTCTTTTATATGGAAATGACTGAGGTACTCTGCTTTCTTTAAAAAGTGGTTGCAGTATCTACAGCCTCTTCCCTTTCAATTACTGAACAGCCTATGTCGACCTGTCTTTTTTCTCAAAACGAAGCCCTGTTTGCCAACTTCCATTTATGCACAAAATGCACCAGTACTCTAATT